TGGACGATCAATTTCGGAAATTTTCGGCAATTATGAAAATTTGTGTAACAATGGACGTTCCCTCCTGTTCTTTGCATATTGATTTAGACGTATCTCTGCAAGCTCCCAAGAAAGAAATGTATCACCAACACTAATTTGGTTGCTAGAAGTTAAGTTAACGTTTTCAATTAAAATATCATTATGGCTGTCTTGAATCATTTGAATTTCTGTTATTGATTCATTTTCTATATACATTATATATAATGTTCGTTAAAGAAATCTATTACAATTACACAATCAATTTAAAAACAAAACATATAACCTACCATTCATATATGTATCCATTATAGACTATAGTAATCTGAAATTTCAGGTATGTTCAAAGTAATGCTTTTTTTTACTGGCCCAAATTAATTACTTGATGCAACAAAATAAAATAAGGTTCTTATAGAGTGCATTAACCAATACTACTTCTAAAGTTAATTATTATAAAGCTAGAATAGTATTTTTGCACAAAGCTTTGGCTAGTGTTTTCCTTTCGAATAAACTATTATAGTATGTATAAAGTTAAATAGTCGAATTTATAGAAATGCTTTGTAAGTATTCACAAGATTAAACTTTACCTTATACAACAGTTATTGTCACTTTACAAAGCTAATTAGAGTTGTACTTTTATACCTTCGGTGCTAAATATATAAAGTTATGCACGTTAACTTTATAAAAGTAGTATTCAAAAAGCATGAATATAAGACCTACTAACCGTATACAGCTATTCACTTTTTAATTATCATTGTTCTTCAGATTTATATGCTGATTTACAATGAGCCCCTGCTAGTACTTCTCCTTTGGTGCTATTTACAATGAGCCCTCGCTAGTACTTCTCCTTTGGTGCTAGATGTAAAGTTATGCATGTTTGAATTCATAAAGAACAAGTTGCATTCAAACGCAAGAACATAAGACCAATTTACCAACTACAGCTATTCACCCTTCAACTTGGCCCCTTTCAGGGTTGTTATATTCGCTTTGTTAATTGTATTTGTCTAACCGAACCTTTTATTCATTCAAATACTTTTACTTTGTACAATCGAAAGGTTATTTGATCTTCACTATACAGTATTTAACGTGACTCAACGTAACTCATATGACGTGTCATTATACAATTTTTTTATATGATATTTAAGTTACACAGATGATCATCACTGCCGGTTATTAGAACTAAAACTCCTATATTTTAATTTTTAAATTTGTTATTAATTTTTTTTTTCTTTTAAATTGTAGTATTTCAAGAAATCTTTTTTGAATTTTCATCTTTTAACTTTTTATTAATTAATTTTTTTATTTTAAAGTCTTTTGGTATTTTATAAATTTTTTTTTTGTTTTTTTTTGTCTTTTAAT